CTCTCTCTCTCTCTCTCTCTCTCTCTCTCTATTCCGCCCTCCCCCCCTAAAAAAAAAATCAAAAAAAAAATCAGTTTTGTCTCTCACAAATTCTATCATAAACTCAGCCACTCAAATAAAACAAAACAGAAAAAATCAGAGCAGAGTTCGCAAACCATTATTCCCACTACCCTTGTGTGTCTCCACAGACTTGCATTATATTATTATTAAATAAGACTGTGCACACTTGACCTAATTACGGTTCACCATGGGGTGCACCATGCGACTCTGTGCTAAACTGTCCTCGTCGTTTTATGCAAAAAAAATTATGAAATTATGCTAATTGAGCCCCAAAAAAGTGAAATTATGCGATTCTGTTAATTTCAACAAAGAATGATAAAGGAAAATAATCAGAAATTACGCGTAAAACTAAAAGATTAAATTTTGCTAAATTATGCGGGGTGCATTAAACCAGGGGAACAGACCAATATGACTTTATTGTGTTGCAAGAGCTGTAAAACTCTTACCAAAACTTTAAAAAATGCACCATGTGTCTCTGTTTGGAACCAAATGAAGGGTACGAAGGAAGAGGTACGCGCGCACTTGACTAGAGGGAGACTTATGTTTTGCCCTTCACTTGCACATCCATGGTGCGCACCAAAGTAACAAAGTTTTTGACAAAGAGCAAAGACCACCACTCATGACAGAGCCCAGTCTAGGTTACTATAGCTCAAGTCTACGAGAGCCATAAGCAGGAAGCGACTGGCTAAACTCATTGCAATCAAAAGTTGTGAAACCATTCAACATTTCATATAAAAATCCAGTAACAAGCAATAATAATAAGCAACAATAATACGCAATAGTAACTTATTACAAATATCGATGCATAATAACTTTATCGACCGTTGATTGATCTCTTCGATTTGGACAAAGTCGACTCGTCTGCATAGTCCAGTGGAAAATCACCGAGCTATAATTAACACAGTTTAATAATAACATCTTGGAGGCTTTTGTAAAGACCATAATATATATGATACCGTACTTATCACATAATAGCATAAGTCTGTGATAAAGACTGTCTTCTTTGAGGACTTTATATAATAGACACTTGACTTAAGTTTTACAGTACGCTTTAAAGTCTTAGTAGGTGAACATCTGAATAGAAGAGTATACCGTAAGACCATTGCCCGTGCAAAATCCAAAGTTTAAAAATTTCGTACTATAAAAAATAATATCCTGATCACATCTGTGAGCTTCTCTTCCTCCTTGGAGGTTAAAGGTTGTCATCAATTTATGATGGAAGAACATAGATGTACACTGTATAAAAGGAGATAACTCTATGTGGAAGAACCACTTCTGTTACTGTCGTTATGATGATAAAAATAATAATAATAATAACAATAATAATAATAATAAGAAGAAGAAGAATAAGAATAAGAATAAGAATAAGAATAATTATAATAATAACAATAATAATAACAATAATAATA